CTGTTTTATATCCCACGCAGGAGTGAAATCATATGGTCTTGACTTATTTTGCTTACCATGATATTCTCAAAATCCATCCATGTTGTCACAAATACCAGAATTTCATCTTTTCTTATGGCTGAGTACTATTCCTTTGTACACATGTAGACATCTTTATCCAATCATCTATTGAAGGACACTTAGTTGTTTCCACGTCTTGGCCACTGTGAATAATGCTGCAATGTACTTAGGGATATATATATCTTTATGAATAAATGTTTTCAGTTTTTTCAGGTAGATACCCAGAAGATCAGTTGTTAGCTCATATGGTAACTCTGTTCTTAAGTTTTCTGAGGAACCTCCAACTGTTTTCCATAGTGGCTGCACCAATTTATATTCTCACCAGCAGTGGTATGAGGGTTTTTTCCACAACTTCTCCAATACTTGTTATTGCTTGTCTTGTTGATAACAGCCATTCTAACAGGCGTGAAGCGGTATCTCATTATAGTTGTGATTTACGTTTCCCTAATAGCTAGTGAAGTTGGGCATCTTTTTAAATATCTGTCATTTTTATGTCTTCTTGGGAGAAGTGTCTGTTCAGGTCCTCTGCCCATTTTTCAATTGGATTGTTTTTATTGTTGTTGTTGAGTAGTGTGAGTTCTTTATATATTTTGGAGATTAACACCTTATTGGAGGTGTTGCCTGCAAATATCTTCTCCCATTCTGTTGATTGCATTGTCTTGTGGATGGTTTCCTTTGCTGTACAGAAGCTTTTTAGTTTGATATAGCCCCAGTCATTTATTTTTGCTTTTACTTCCCTTGCTTTAAGGTCAAATTCCTAAAATTCTCTCTAAAACCAAGGTCCATAAGTTTAGTAAGAATGTTTCCTTTTATGTATTTTATTGTTTCAAGTCTTATATTTAGGACTTTGATCCATTTCGAGTTAACCTTTGTGTATGGTGACAGTCTAGTTTCATTCTTTTGCATGTGGCTTTCCAGTTTTTCCAACACTGTTTATTGAAGAGGCTTTCTTTTTTCCATTGTATGTTTTTGGCTCCTTCATCAAAAATTATTTGCCTACATATACGTGGGTTTATTTCTGGGCTATTAATTCTGCTCCATTATTCTGTTTGTTGGGGTTTTTTGCCAATACCATGCTGTTTTGTTTATTGTCACTGACATTTTTAAATTAGTTGTTTGGTTACAAGAGGACATTGTCATTACAAAAAGGTTTAGTCAAGTTTGTTGAGTAGTTTTTTTAAAAAATATTTTCTATCTACCCATCTGAGATATCAACTGTTCTCTCAAGAAAAGAAACAGGATTTGGTATATCGACTCTTTAACCAGTGACTGTACAAAATATAAATGAATAGAGAAGAGATGAAAGACTTAGTGATAAGTAAAAATGAGCCCACAATATCAATAGCTGTATCTCTGCTTTGATAAGATTATGAATCATGAATATTGATGCTTAGGCAAGGAGGCAATCCACTATGAAACAATCCTGGAAGTGACTGTAGGCAAAGAAATAAGGGCCTCTTTCTAAAATCTATCTATTTAAGCTTCTTCCAAATACCAAATCTATTAAACACATGAGTTATAAAATAATATTATGCCCATAAAATGGTTCCAAAAGACATAGGTAAAAGTCTCAAGAGTTCAACAGTGTGCAGTGTACAGGGATTCATTTTTATTGTCTTAAATTTATTGTAGTGTTTAGAGAGTAAAAAAATTTCCCTTGATTTAGTTGAGTACAATATAAATAGGGATCTTTTCCCCTAAGACATGTATTAGCCAGCTTTGATTCTGATAATTTGTCTCAAAATATAGTGCTACTGAGGTAAAAGGACTAGGGGAAAATTGGTAACATCATTTTCTTGGTCTGTCAAGTCAACATCAGACTAAGAAAATTGAATCAGCCCTCCTAGGCAGAAAGCACAATGTTATTGAAATGGCATCATCATGGAAATGTTTTATGGTCCAAAAGAAATCATCAGTTCTTTTATTCTTAGGCCCTGTGCTGGCAATTTAGATCAGCTATAATTTTATATATGTAATATTTTTAAATAAAGATTGAGTTCTCTAAGCAGTCATAGACTTTAAATTTAGTCAGAAAAAAGTATTCTTTATATTTTTTCTGTGTATACAGAAGGTGTTAGATGAATTTTTCCAGCATAATTAAACTTGTTACCATATATGGCAGGCCATATTTATACTTATTTCTTTGTATTAAATTATTGAGTATATCTGTTAATATTAGACCTGTTTATATACCAGAAAAAAATGGCACTAGCTTAAACAAGCTAATTTATTTTTATCCTACGTAAAATAAATCTAGAGGTAGGTAGTCCAGAGATGGTTTAGTGTCACTCCATCTCTTCAGTGACACAGGCTGTGGTATTATTCTCCAATAGTGATATTGTTTGCTTTCATCCTCAAGGTTGCTTCATGGTCCAAGATGACTACTGAAGCTCCAGCCATCATGCACGGGTTCCAGGTCAACAGAGAGAGGAAATAAGAGAGAGCAAAACCTCAGAGGTCTCAACACAATTATCTCCCTTTTAAGCAGTCAGCTCAGGAGTCTCAGGAAACCCTTCTGGTCAGATCACAGTGGGCCAAACATCTTCACAGGCCACATCTATCTATAGGGAGGCTGAGAAATAAAGTTTTTCCTATAGGAAAAGTGACAAGTGGAAAATCAGGTTTCTATTACTAAGGAAAAAGTAGTACATGGATGTTTGGGAGGCAATCTTGGGATAGCCTACCTAGAGTAATTCCCAAAGAGCTTGTACATGCCTCCTCATTTCTTATTTGATTGATATTTATGCAGCTCATTAATCCAAGACCCTTTTCAAGATGAATTTTCATGTGGACAGCCACATTTGAGATGCAGAAAAGACCATCATCTCCCAAGGTGACTTTATCTGATCAGCATTGTGGGTCTTTCTGTCTCCAAGTCCATGAGAAATGTGCACATATCTTCATAAAGTTGAACATATAAACAAGGCAAAAACAGATTCCCCCAAAATAAAAAATAGTATCTAATCTAACTATTTTGAAAAACATATTTCAGTAGCTAACTGAAAGTATCTTTCCTTCTATATTATTTCACACAAAGTGAATTACTTATAAAAACTGATTAAAGTACACTTTTTAAGAATGACTTTGCAGCTGCCTTTATTAAGGATTGTTGTTTACCAATATAAGTTGTATGTATGTATAACTGATAAACAGAAATTTACAAACTTGCTAGGCTTTTCTGAAAATGGAGTACTTGTCTTAACTAAATATATTCCAGCTTCCCTAAAATAAGAACAATTTTGGTTGTCTCATTTAAAAAACCTTCAATTCTTGTAAATGTTACCGTATTAGCCACTGGGATAGAACAAGCCGACTCTGCTGTAAAGTGCTTCATTTTTCCACTGAGATGATTATTCTGGAGACAGAATAGGCCTCTGAATTTCTCCTGCCCAATCCTCAGTCCCTCTATGGTGTTGCACAAAATAAGTGGATCAGGGTGTCTCTTTCTGTGTGGTGGAAAGCTTTGTGCTAGGGAAGAATCCAGTTCTCTAGACGGTGTGGCTAGGCCATGACTGGCCCACAGTAATATTATAAATGAGGTAACATTTGCTTCTAATATTTTGCTTTTTCCCTCTTCCTCCCTGCTCTCCCTCCTCACTCGGGTGAGGAAGCATTGATTGAGCACCTATTATACATTAGGGGCCAAGTTGGGGGCTGGAGCTACAGGAACACGGACTGTGCCCTCACCGAGCTTGCCGCCTACCCTTCCTGCACCTCTGCTCGGGCACAGGACCACCACCTGCAGCTTCTGGAGTCTTGCTGCTTCAAAGGGTGCTCTCAGCCCTGTGTCCTGACCTGCTCCTTACCTCTCCAATCAAGCTTAGCCTTCCTGGGTCTGTGGCCCAGTCTGCTAGATAGTTCTTCCATTTAAATTTATCTTTTCATTTTTACCTTAAACGGAAGATATTGGTAGCAATTTCAGGTATGTTAAAAGTGGGGGATAGAGCTGTGGGATTTTTTTTTAATAACCAAGGACTTTACAGTACATAGATCTTTGACCAAAAAAATATAGGTAAAATTTGTCTGTGCATACTATATATGATTGTAAGTAATAACTACAAAAATGTTGCTATTTTAGATAATGTTCCAGTATTCCTAGATTAATTCATTTAACAGAAATTTTACTAAAATGGTTTTCCTATTTGTAGAAGATTCTCTGAAATCAATTGTTGGAGGATAACCTATAAATAAATACTTAGATATTTAGAGGAAACACCCAGATCATATAAGCTATTAGATTCCTAGGTTAGGCCATGCACACCACTCCCCCACCCCCCACTCTGCGCAAAAAAAAATTTGCAACATGTGTGAAAAGTTGTTTGCATATATTTATTCATACAGGCATCCAATAAATATTAATGAAATAGGTACTGTGTCCCGGGATCTATTTTAGTGGCTAACAAAACAAATGAAGTCTCTGTCCTCATAAAATTCATGGTGTAGCGACCGTGACAATCATAAATTAAACAAAACAAACTAACAAGAAAGATTATTTCATGTTGAGGCAAAAAGTTATGAAGTGAAATATGTGCCATGAAAAATAACAGGATGTCTGGGCCACAGTGGTCAAGGAACAAACATCTCTGTGAAGTACACATTTAAGATGAGATTAAAGTTTAAAAAGGAGCCATGTCAGAGAATCCCAAGGCATGGCATTTCAGACTGGATTATCCAAAAAGGCTTGGCATTGGCTAAGCTGATGATGACACTACCGGGGTATCTGGCATATGAATTTTAGTCATGCCAAATGTGAGCCAACGTTCCAATTGCTAACCAACCGGAGATCCTGTTTTCTAAAACGACTCTTAACTCAGGCCTAAAGAAGCCCGTAACACGGCGTCGGGTTTTCCCTTGTGCATGCGGTGAGCTGCAGCTGGGTGCGCAGTTGTTGGGGGTGTGTGCTAACCATGCAACTCTTTCTCTTCCTCTTGTGTCACCAGGCCGCCGGAACCTGTTTACAGCACTGTGAACAAACTGTGTGATAAGCCTGCTTCTCCCAGGCACTATTCCCCTGTTGAGTGTGACAAAAGCTTCCTCCTCTCAGCTCCCTACCCCCACTACCACCTAGGCCTGCTCCCTGACTCTGAGATGACCAGGTACTGCATGCGCTTCCTCACTTCATCTTCTCGAATTGCATGTGCTTCCACGATGAAAGAATGGGTAGACTCCGCCTCTGCTCACTTCTCTTGCACCGGACATCTTCCTCAAGTGGAGAGATGTTCAGCTCCCTTGGTGCGATGGGGGAAATTAAGAACATTGCCTTGTGTTTTTCCTGGTGTGTTCACAGAGCACTCAGACATGATCACATGATGCTCCAATGTTCTTGGTTCCCATGCATTTTTAATGAGGTATTATATTTTTCCAGAAGGATTAATTTTGAAATTTAAGTAGCACTGTTTCCCTCAATCAGTGGATGAAACAGAACATTTATTGAGTATAGTTTTGGATTATAATTACTAAACACTTACTATGCTCCAGGCATAACATAGCCTAAGAAGTAGATGCTATTATCACCATTTAATATTTTAACTAAAACATTAAATTAGTTCCATCATTTAACTGACTCCTTGGGGTATTAAACAACTTGTCCAAAACTACATAATTAGCTCATTCTATCTAACCACAGAGAATATATTCTTAATCTTTACCGTATGTTATCAAGCGAGGCGACTGCGTATGTTCTCTTATTTATTTACTCCCATTTTATATATAAAAAATAATAATAACAAAGTTTAAAGAAGTTAAAGCATTGCCCTCAGTATGATATTGCTAATAAGTGTGGACTTCAGATTTGACCTTAGAATGTTCTAAGTCTTTCTACAATTTTGTAAACAAATCATTCTAAATCTCAAGGTTGGACATGATTTTGCATTAACACAGTAAAGCATATGTATGGTAAATAATAAAACTCCATTTTAATGCAGTAATCAAAGTCAGAGATAGGAGAGAGTCAGAAAGGAAAGGAGGATCCAGTGTTCTGTGAGGTAGTTACGATTCCGTTCAAATTGAGAGATCTCATTTGTGAGGCTCCTGGATACAATGGGATGCTTATGGAGTTATGTTTTCAGATAGAATACTTTTATGTCTTCATAATATCATTAGAGCTGAGAAAATATAAACTTTATAATGATTCAAAGTGAAAATGAATATATTAAGAGAGTCTCAGAACAGTCTATTTTTTTATATTTTCAAAGAATAAGTTTAGAAGTTAATTACAGACCTCCCTTGGGAGTTAAATAGGAAATTTTAAATTATATCTAACATTTCTAGAAATAAATGAGAAGACATATTTTGGGCTATGTAATCAGATGGGGCATTTTCACTAATTTGCAACAATTAAATCTTAATAATATTTTAGAATGCTTTATAAATATTAATTATGTCCTATATTTTTAACAAATCATAAAAACTATTTTTTGATACAGTGAACTATACAGTTTTGAATCTAAGAGAGCAAAGTCACCATAGCTATAGGGAAGTGGGAAGGTAAACACGCCTACAACAATTTTCTAGTAATAATGCATCTATAGTCAGCTACAGAAAGGCAGCTAACAGAGCTCTTCCTCTGTGCCAGGCATTTTCTTAAGCACTTCTTATGAGATATTTCTTTGAACCTTGACAATCACCTTATGAGGTGGATGCTATCATTATCGATTTTTAAAAATAAGGAAACCAAGGCTTGAGAAGTCGCCTGACATGCCTAAGATCACCCACTAATAAGTGGCAGGGCTGGGATCCAAACCCAGGTCACCATCAGCACCTGCATCAGCACAGGCATGACAGCAGAGATGTCTTTGCTTGCTGGAAAAATTCTCCACCCATTTCTCTTTTGCTCTCCTTTCTCTATTTTTATCCTGCTTTCTCATCTCCCTTCTTCTGGCTCAACCTTAATGAATTTTTTTTTAATCTGTGCTCCTTTTTGATGAACATAAAAATGGCATTCCTTGCATTCCACTGGGGATTTTGATGAATCCCTCCATTAAAAACTCAGCAAAGCCAATAAGCAGATGATACAGTCTAGCTTTTGTGTAGACCCACCAGATACAATTCTTTTTAGTTTACTTTCTGTAATCTCACACTCAGCAATCCTGATATGCATCAGCACCCACCCCCTACCCTCCATCACCCTTTAGGGAATTTTATTTCTATTTGTTCCAGCGGTGTCCTTCTTTTCCCCCTCTTTTACTTTCCTCTTTTCATATTTTATGTTCTCGAAAAATGTCACACACGCACACACAGTTTTAGTTGTATTGTTACCAGTACTCTGATACTAAAATTCTTGATTTCACACCACTTTGCTCCCCTTTCACACGTCCCCAACTCAGTAAATGGCACATACATGTACCCCATGGTTCAAGCCCAAGCCTTGAGAATTATACTTAGTACCTCTTCTCCCTCACATCCGTCATTCAATCTGTGTTCTAACCCTGTTGATTCTACCTGAAATCCATTTCTTCTTCTCTACTTCTAGGTCCACTTTAATCCAAGCTTCCGTCATCTCCCATCTACAATAGCTTTTGAGTGGTCTCACCACTTCCCTTTATTCTCAGTGCTGCCATAGTGATCTGTAAAAATACAGATCAGATGTATTGCTCTCTATTTGCATTAATATAAATGCAAAGTCATTAACAGAGCATCCAAGCTGTGCATGATTTCACCCCTGCCTGCCTCTCAACCAGCTTCCCTTTGCTGACCCGTCACCTGCGTGCACAGAGTGCACTAAAATCTTCCTGTCTCACGTGCTTCCCACACGCTCTTCCCTCGAACTGGAAAGCTCTTCCTTTACTTTGCCTGGTTGACTTCTGGTCATCTTGGAGCTAAGCTTAAATTACATTCCCCTGGAGAAGCTCCCTGAAATAGAAAATTTGGCTTCCTGTTATATTCTCTTCTTTTTTCCATAAGACTCAAGCAGTCTATTATTGTCCATTTATTCATGTGATTTTTAAACTAAATGCCTGTTTCACACTCTATGCTGTAAGCTCAATGAGTGGAATTGTGTCTAATTTGTACACTGCTGTATCCTTAACACATAGCATAGTGCCTGGCACAGCAGGAGCTCAGAATTATTGAGTGGCTAAGTAAATATGGAAATAAAATCATCGGGCAGACAAGCAGACAAGATACCTGTTCCAGGAACAGGTCATGTCTCAAGCTGTGCTTTACTCTGTTCTGAGTAGGTACATAAAACAACTCCATGAATGAATGAATCCAAGCATGGAAACAAATACCAATACACCAGCACTCACTTTGTATATTGCACTCTCACCTTATATGATCTTGAAGTTCAGTGTCCACATTATGGATTCTTAGGTAACTGTCAGTGCTTCGTGAAGACAGGAATTCCTTTCAGAGACTTTTTACTTCCTCTTGAGTTAAAAATATCTCTGAAGCAGATGTTTCTTGAAATGCTGCCAATCACTTTTTTAAAAGTTCAAGGGTTCTAGTTCTACTTACGACACCATCACTTGCTTTTTCCACTGTTGCTGTAAATAACTTATGAATCTCAGAGGTGGATGATAACTTAGAATTAGATGAACGAGCCCTTATCCAATGCCAGTAATGATGAGGATCCCAACCCCTTCACAGGTCCATGTCTTATCTTCTCTTGGTGAAATAAAAGTATTTGGGCCCGGCCGGGCGTGGCTCAGCGGTTGAGCATCGACCTAGGATCCAGGTGATCAGGGTTCGATTCCCGGTCAGGGCACATGACCGGGTTGCGGGCTGCAGCCGATCAATGACTCTCTCATCATTGATGTTTCCCTCTTCCTCTCCCTCTCCCTTCCTCTCTCTGAAATCAATAAAGATATATTTAAAAAAAAAAAAAAAGAAGAAGAAATAAAAGTATTTGGGGATATTCTGCCCTGAAAAGGATATTAAAAGAATGTATGTACCAATTCAAGATTTATCAAGCCCTGACAAAATACAAAATACTACCTTAGGACAACTTTTACAAAGATGTGAACTGAAAAAGCCAACCCCCAAAATGTTTTTAAAATGCCTAACCTTTAAGTTGCAATATGTGGTAATACATATTTTTTAGGGCGTTTGAGAATTTCCTAGTCTATTTCAGAAGCATACACATACTGATACAGCAATTACCATCTCAGATTAAGATATGAGCTACCTCGGTGGAAGTTAGCGTGCGAAACCACTCACGTACCAACTTAATCTCTAATCAGCATTCCGAAGAATGGAGGCCAGTCAGCAGAAGCTGGGGAGAGAGTCAGCCATCTGTTCTCTCTGCATTTCAATGGGAATCCCCCCATTCTCAGCTCTTTGAATTGCTCACAAACATCCAGGGATGAATTAATTGTATACACAATTTGCTTCTGTAACATCAACTCAAAGAAAACAGAGAAATTGTAAATTTTCCTTAGGAAAGCTCTTCAAATTACTTGACAAAGTGCCAGCTCCTAAGGCTACAGATTACATTTAGAATAATTGACTTTTTAGACCTTGCAAAAACAAGAAATGGGCAGAGCCTGGAATCAGACTAGCATTTGGAGCTCTGTGGAAAGCAAACAGGATTGCCGTGGGGCCCTTGCTTATCTAGTGTGTCATTTTTGTTTCTGTTTCAACATAGTTTTGGATGTTCTAATTGGTTTCATATTTTGGGAGAATAGTAAGTTACCCAGCTTATGATATTCCTAGGGCAAGAAGAATAATATTCTAGCCTGTTTTCTCAACATATATGGCCTATTTCCATTCATCCTCTTACATAGCTGGTGCTAATTATTGTTATTTTGTAGTTGATAATCAGAGGTGAGATAAACCAGATGAAGGATAATTAAAATACGTTGGCAGANTAAAAGTATTTGGGGATATTCTGCCCTGAAAAGGATATTAAAAGAATGTATGTACCAATTCAAGATTTATCAAGCCCTGACAAAATACAAAATACTACCTTAGGACAACTTTTACAAAGATGTGAACTGAAAAAGCCAACCCCCAAAATGTTTTTAAAATGCCTAACCTTTAAGTTGCAATATGTGGTAATACATATTTTTTAGGGCGTTTGAGAATTTCCTAGTCTATTTCAGAAGCATACACATACTGATACAGCAATTACCATCTCAGATTAAGATATGAGCTACCT